AGACTACCGGGTATTGCCCAGGATGGGTTACCTTTGCCCCAAGGATTTACAGCCTGTCTGTGGTGATGATGGCCAGACATACAACAATCCCTGCATGCTCTGTCATGAAAACCTGTAAGTAAACAAACTGCACCGTCACATCTTCCAGTAGAGAAGTTCTTGACTATGATGTCAGTCTTTAGTAGTGCGCTGATAACAATTTGATGTGTATTGCAAGTAATTCATTAATCATAGAAGTTAAAAATTCAAAATTGGTGAATTATCTTTCTTATATGTAAAATAGAAAAGGTTTAAGGTTATTCCTTTAGCAAAACTGCTTATATACATTGTTATATACTTTACTGAGTAAAAGAGAGAGGAAAACATGGTGGGGTTACGACAGTTATAGAACATCCGTACGGGACCAGGCGCGATGGCTCACTCCTGTAATCCTAGCACTCTGGGAGGCTGAGGAGGGACAATTGCTTGAGCTCAGGAGTTCAGGAGACCAGCCTGAGCAAGAGGAAGACCCTGTCTCTACTGACCATAGAAAAATTAGCTGGCATTGTGGCACGTACCTGTAGTCCCAGCTACTCGGGAGGCTGAGGCAGGAGGATCGCTTAAGCCCAGGAGTTAGAGGTTGCTGTGAGCTATGATGGCACCACTGCACTCTCCCTACCTGTGGTGACAGAGCGAGATTCTGTCTCAAAAAAAAAAAAAAAAATCTGTATAAAGCGTAACACTCGTGGGGGGGTGTGAGCATCACTCATATCGTGGTGTATAAGAGAAAAATAGTTGAGAACCATTGCTATGTAGAGTCAGCGTGGTTGATAGTATCTGAAAGGTCCTATGACTACAAGACAGTCACTGATTTCCCAACTTCCTCCTGAAGGAAGTGGTACTCTACAAAAAGAAAGTGGTACCATACAAAAGAAAACGCTCTAAGATAAATGCCAGACCTGATGTTTGCTTTCAGATTTATCCATGTGTCTCTAGGTGTATTATCGCATCTTTCTGAGTCTCATTTTCTTCATTGGAGAAATGGAAACAGTTCTCTGAGCAGCTAACTTCTCAGGTTATCGAGAAGAACTGCTAAATATAGAAATGTTTTTATTTTAGATTAAA